CCCCCCCCCCCCCCCCCTCTCTCCCTTATATTATTGCCCCTCTATCACCCTTTCCTCTTCCCCTCTTACCAAAAATCTCAACACAAACACAACAAAAACCAAATCCATATCTAGAGAGAGAGAGAGAGAGAGAGAGAATTGAAGATCCAGAAACATGATAGGAGAGATGATGAACCTGAAGGAGACCGAGCTCTGCCTCGGCCTCCCCGGAAGTGGAGGAGGAGAGGCGGAGGCGGTGGTGGAGAGTCCAGCAAAGGCGGCGACGGTAGGGAACAAGAGAGGTTTCTCTGAGACAGTTGATCTGAAGCTGAATCTTCAGACAAACGAGGAAGGCCGAGTTGTGGATCTTAACGCTGGTGATCCCAAGAACTTTGCCGGAGCAACCAAGGACAAGAATAAGCCTCCTGCTAAGTAAGTCCCCTTGTCTTTTTTTGTACGAATGCATATATATATATGTGTATATATAGTATTGATCTTGAGTTACTTATTGATTTCAAGAATCTATCCCTAGAGGATGAATGACTAAACACAGAAACAGAAAAAAGATGCAAAAAAATAAAATTTTCCAAACACTCGAGTGATTTCAAGATTAATTTACCTAAAGTAATATTGATTTATGAAACCGATGGAGAGAAATAACTAGTCGATCTCCAGATCTATATAAGAACTATACTAGTGTCGATCTAGGGGTTTCAGATTAATATTGAAAGGCATCATACTTGAATTTTTTGGGAAGAAGATAATATTCGATGTTCGTATTGTCAAAGATGTTAATTTTTCCCAACATATACGCACCCCTTTGAGCATGAATTCATTCTAAGAATCCAATTAAAATGTTCCTTTCCGTGGAACATATTATCATAAACACACGATTCCACTACATATGATGTTTGAACAAGGTATATACACACACACATATATATATATATATATGTGTGTGTATAATATATATGCAACGTATATATATATATAATTGTTATATTGAATGTAGGGCACAAGTGGTGGGGTGGCCGCCGGTGAGGAACTACAGGAAGAACATGATGGCTCAGCAGAAGAGCAGCAGTGCCGTGGAGGAGGAGAAGGCCTTCGTGAAGGTCTCCATGGACGGAGCTCCTTACCTAAGGAAGGTCGACCTCAAGATTTACCAGTGCTACCAAGACCTCTCTGATGCTTTGGCCAAAATGTTCAGCTCCTTCACCATGGGTACGCATATACATTACACATACACACGTATATATAATTATATCCTCTCATATATAACCATACAGAGAGAGAGAGAGGGAGAGAGAAGTGGTTAAAAAAAAAAAAAGAGAGGGAGAGAAGGGTTATATAGTTGCTAAAGAAACAAGAATATTGCAATCCGTATATTCTATAGGTCCATGTCCACACACACACGTGACAAATTTTAGTTCTTTATAACCAAAATATATAATATATACATACATACAAACTGAGATTATTCAACTGTGAATGTGTGTTGAAGGGAACTACGGATCACAAGGGATGATAGATTTCATGAATGAGAGCAAGTTGATGGATCTGTTGAACAGTTCTGAGTATGTGCCAAGCTACGAGGACAAGGATGGTGACTGGATGCTCGTGGGAGATGTTCCATGGCAGTGAGTTTTCCTTCACCAGCATCATTATTCTCATTTACGTTAATTATTATTATAATCCAATTTATTGCATTTATTTAATTATATATATATATATATGCATGAATAACAACCAAGGAATTCCATGTGTAATAAATACGCACAACTATGCATTGGTTGGCATATGGGACAAGGTTGGATCTTAAAAGATCAAAAGATTCAAAACGCTCACCTCATCTATATATAGCTGGCGAAATCCAAACTTGTCATTGTTATTATTGGCTAAAACACAATAAATTCTATGTTATATATATATATATATATACATATACATATAAGGAATTAATGATCGTAACTATGGACCAATGTCTAAATCGAAACCCGAATTTATTTTTTCCAGAATGTTTGTGGAGTCATGCAAACGCTTGCGTATAATGAAAGGATCCGAAGCTATAGGACTTGGTACGTATATTCTTCTCTTTGTTACATATCTTAATCTCTTTTAAAAAAATTTGGTAAAAAAAAAAAAAGCTTATCGTTTTCCCTCTGATTTGGTTTCAGCGCCAAGAGCTATGGAGAAGTGCAAGAACAGATCTTGAACCAACAAGAACTACCCAAGATCAGATCAATGAAAGAAGACAATATGGGTTTTTTTTTACAAGTTTATTTGTATTTTGTTGATTTCATGTGACTTTTTTTTTCCAGATGTGTCTGTAATTTTTAAGATTTGATGGATATATAGGCATAGTATTTATTACCTGAAAGATGTGAACTTACAATCTCTGTGTTTGTGTCATATATATTGCCGAACATGTGTCTTTTTTAATGACGATCAATCTTTACGTACACATATATACATGCATGTGCATACATCCACGGGTATGTATATGCATCTTCGGATGCATATTTTGGTCCGTAGTCCGCTTTTTGTCGTTTCTTCTGTGTTATAATAAGTTCATCCAAAAGCTAATTCTGATATTTGCACTTTGATTAAAAAAAAATGGCTTGCTGTTTCTTTCGATCTTTATATGATATTAGTATATTACCAGATATTCCTATTTTTAAGTTAGCTAATTCTTTAATAATATAAACTTATTATAAAATATAAATAAAGGAAACAAATTGCGTGGAAAAAATTGACATGATTGATCTCACATATCCATATCATTAAGACACCTTTTACACACACAAAAAAGCGGTGGAAAAAAATTTACATGTGAATATAATTTATGTATAATAATAAGATGAATGATTTAAAATAGAGATGCATGAAAAATTCGGAAAATACACTACATTTATATGTTATTAATTGTTGATCTATATAATGTTCAAATTTTACTGGTTAATAAATTTATAGGACTTAGATATTACGTAGTTTATCTTACTTGAATATAATATAATTAATTCTATATTATTCTTTATTTTTCATTCTTTATTCTTTTATTATAGAGGTATATATATTGTATTTAGTAATCAATTTTTTTTTGGTAAAAATTTAGTAATCAATTTTTATTAGTACTTATTTTTTCTATGAGAAATAGATTTTGTGGTTTTGTGAATTCCATGTTGAACCTCGAAAGGATTATCAAAAATCTAAAAATCGTTCAATTATTTTCATCAAAGTATATTATAAATTGAGAATCTACGAATATTGCATTTTCTTAAAGCGGGAGAAGATTTTATTAAATACAGGACCCATGGGAGGGGCATGGAACAATACCATGTGCATGTTCATGGGTCTTTCAATTCATCGTCATTATGTTATTGTACCCTATTTTGCCTATCACGAGAAGAAATTTTCAAAATATTTTATAATTTTATGTCTCAATTTATGTGTCACGTTATCATTTTCAATTATAATTTTATGTAGTGACGATTAGGTATTTTGCATCAAAGTCCAAATTAATTTTGGAATTTAAAATTTAGAATTTTGTGCCTGAAGTTTTTGTCATATTAATTTAGTAGTTAAAAGTTAACCTATAAATTATAGAAAGTTAATTTTAAATTTAAATTCTAAATAAATTATAAAAAAAATTGAAAATGTTTAACCAAGGTCAACGTTTAAGTTTCTTATTGGGGTTGTTATGCGTTTTTAAATCAAATTATGTATAACTTGGACAAAGTTCGAAGTTTAGTGATGTAATATTCATGTTTACTTTTTAAAATTATAGATTAGATTTATATATTCAAACTTTGAAATTTGTGTGATGTTCTGAATGTTATTTGTCTTGAGTTTAACCCAAGTGCCCAACAACACACACACACACACACACATATATATATATATATATATATATATATATTCAATGTTATAAATTATAGTATCTATTTGTAATAACTTTAATATATAATTGCAGTCTACTTGATCCGCATGCACAACCTTTTTCTTGGATCAGGTGCAACGATGAAATTCTCAAGGTATTTTTTTTTACTTTATCGAAAAATAATAACAAAATAAAAGCAAAATGACTAAGAAAAATATTTATTGAGATAAAGAAGCAAAAGGGATAATAGTGAAAACAATAACAAAATGTGCATTGCCATGTAATGTTGAGACCGTGGATAAGTTATCAACGTTCCATTGACAATTTATATATAAAGAATTTAACAAGCTTGAAAATACATTTCATTTGAATAAGAAGAAGACATCCACAATTTTTTAGAACAAGGTATTTTGAACTTTAAAAAACCCGGTAAAGATATATATAATTTGGACAGATAACAGTTTAACATTTTTGTTTTATATATTTGTAATAATTTTATGTGTGGTCAGACATTTTTAGTCGAAAATATTTGTCTCGTCACCATGGCATGATACTTTTATAGAGAAAAAATAAATAAATTTCTAAATTGATAGAGATGTTATTCATAATGCTAACCAATTTTACAAAAAAAAAAATTTTGTTAACCGGGAAGTTCACCTAGGCATTCGGCCCAACCTACATCTCTCCAGGCCCGAGAGCAGCCTTTAGAGTAACGCATAAATGCGTCTCTCCCTCCCCGCCTGTGGAATTGAACTGGCCACCTCTTGCGCCTAACAGTCTCAAAGAGACTTGGCCACCAGGAGCGCCTACCGCTCGACCACCACGAGGTGAGTCCAATTTTACAAATTAGTTTACCCATTAAGAACAATTCCATATATATATATATATATATATGAACTCTCAATACAGCTTTCTTATCAATAATTCAAATTTGGTTAGTTCTGAAATAGAAATACAAAACGTCTGTCTTATCCGAATTCAAATCTCGAATTAAAAAAAAAATATTCATCCGAAATTAATTTGAGTCTTGATCTCGATTAAACTTTTTTTTACCAATATGATTGTGATGTTTTAGAGATTATAATTGAAATATTCCAAAAATATTTCAATTACCACGTCTGAGATGTTGTCCGATTCATGGGGTCGGATGGTGTTAGGTCCGAAGGGTTGTGAGACGGTTTCGTTACCAAAAAAAAGTATTCCAAAAATAAGGCCTTTGAACAAAAAGTAAAAACACCAACGAATATAGAAGAAAATATTTTAAAGCCCATATACAATTATAGGCGCATAACTTATATGGGCCGGTTTGTTATTTTGTGAATCAAGCCCTATTTACCGTGGTATGCCCATACCACGTGGTTTTAACTTTTAAGCGATGGTAATTCGAACTCTAATTTTTTTATTTAGTTGAAAAATACGTGTAATTTGGTTATTTATCATATATACAAAATTTTGGAAATGACACACTAATAACAGAATAAAATAAAACAGTTTTGTTTAGTCTAGCTCAAAATATTTTAATTTTAAAAATTATACATGGTTTATGGTTAGGTTAATTATATAATCTACACTTATTAAAATTATGAATAATTACCGGAAAAAAATCCCCAATAATAATAGTTATTCCATGCAACTAACGTGAGATCGAAGATCGCATCATGACCGTTACTTTCGCTTTCCCTGTCCTGAAATCCACGTTTATAGGTAGGACCCACATAATTGTTTTTTAATATACATTTTCTTCTTATTTCTCTAATTAATCAAAAAATTTACAAAATACTTTTTTTAGGGAAATGAAATGGTTCCTTTTTTTTTAAACAGAAATGCAATGTTTTTACTATTTAAAGCATTTGTGTGATAAGTTTACGTGCATGCCTCTCTGCTTTGACTTCTCATCAAAGTTTATTTTCATGTTTTTTAATGACATTATTAAAGCTTTAGAAAATTTAATTTGATTTTTTTTAAACTTAATAATACAAATAAATCACTACAAACAGCACAACTAATTAATTTGGAATGTAGTATATTCCCACAATGAATTTACTAGGGCTTAATATTTTTATGTTATATCATCCCGGAAAATGTTTCTTCATTAATACGAAATCTGCACAAAATGAAAAATTAAAACCTATTATTTATTTTTTACATATTGTTTTTTATGTCTAATAATTCAGAAAAAAATATGTATTAAGTTTATAAATTTTTAGAAAATTATATAATTTACCTAAATTCCTTTATTTTAACCTCACGTTTTTTAGCTATTTGTGCGAGGTCTCGAGCCGACCCTCGCGAAGCACTTCGACATACCCACGTCAAGAATCCCTCTCTTTTCAGAATTTTCTCGGGAACCAAACAGAGCGAAACGCAAACTGAGAGCGAGCGAGAAATTACCCACGGCTTCGATTCGAGTCGTCGATTTTATCTGCCAAACAGAGAGAGAAGAAGAATGCCCTAGACGAAGAACACACAAAAAAAAAACTCTCTCTCTCGTTTCTGGGTTTCTCACATGCACCATGTTGAGCTACGCCGATCGATAAAGTTCAGGTTTTTTCCGTTTTTTGGTTGTTTTTTTGGGGGCGTATTCGATCAGAGGAAGATGGTGATGAAGGTAAAGCTGGAGAAGGAGAAGCTGAAGACATGCTTGACTTGTCCTATTTGCAACGATCTCTTCGATCGAGCCACCACCATCTCCGAGTGCCTCCACACGTGTGAGCCCTCTTTTCGTTTTGGCTTTCGATTTCGTCGCCTTTATTTCAGACTTTTTCTGGGTTCTGAAGTGATTTGATGGCGTTTCTGTTCGGATTCTGATCTGGGTTTTGTTCCTATTTCGTTCTCATTGCGGTTTTGTTCCTCGTCTTTTTACCAGTTCTGCTCTGTTGACATCACTTATTTTGTTGGCACTCTTCTTTCTTGATTTTCTATTTAGGTCGGCTCGGTTGTTCCATACGATTCTCTCGTAGATTCTTCTTCTTCTTCTTATTTTTTATTGGAATATCATTACGTAGTTGTAGATTAAAGTATTTGATTTCACATCCAACACTAGAAAAAAGGAGCTTCGGGTTTTTTTAGGTGGGAAGACTTTATCCAGTGACTTGAGCAATGGAAAAACTGTTTCTTTTGTTATAGTTTGATATGTTGTGCTAATATTATATATATATATATATACATGGAGACATATACGAGTGTATATACAGACTGTATGATAGGGGTACTTCATCAGAGTTCACTGTTTTGCTAAGCAATGATTCTGTCTTTGTATATTCTTGTCTCTTCTCTTGGGGTTAGTACACATATTATATGAGTTGCCTTGAGTCATTTGCTCGTATTGGGTCTTATTTATGTTCTGTTGACAGTAGAGTCTCGAAAGTCCCAACTCATCACTGATCTCTTGTTCTCTGGACAACTGCTTCATTTTCCACATTTTCTTGTCAGAATCTGAGTGTTATCTTTCTGTTGTTGAAATCCTCTGACATACATAGAATCTTGCCAGTTTCCGTGCCTTTGTATCTAAAAGCATGTTTTAGTTTAGCATTGCTGGTTTAGGGAAATGTTTTGAATGCTGTGAACAGTTTGCAGGAAGTGCATTTATGACAAGATAACAGAGGAGGATCTTGATTCATGTCCTGTCTGCAATGCTGATCTTGGCTGTGCTCCTCTCGAGAAACTCAGGTTTCATATTCTCCCACACGTTCATATCTGTTTCTTGTCTTAATAATTCTTTTGATGACAAAAGAGTTTCGCCTGTTCTGCTCTCCTCGATTACTTCTTGATATTTGCATTCTTTTCTGCTAAAAACAAGCCCTTAAACTCTCAAAATTAAATCTTGATTTCTCCTCCTCCTTTGGTTCTAATATTATTGACATTTACTCTCCTTGATGCTGAAACGAGCACTTCAAGCTCTGAACTCTATGACCCATTCGTGAAAGAAGTCACAGAGTGTATTCTTATTTTATCTTTAGGAATCCTGGTGTAAATTCTTGATCTGAAAAAATATGTGCTGCCATGGATGCAGACCCGACCACAGTTTGCAAGATCTGAGGCTCAAACTTTTCCCTGAAAATGGGGAAAATAGTAAGGTAGAAACCGAAACTTCTGAAGATCCATTGTCAAACTCCAGAAGAAAGGAAAAATCTCTATCTTCACTCGTCGCTGGTTCAGATGCTGATACCACAAAAGTCTCAAACCTGGACCACGAAACAGTTCGTGTTCATTCGGTATCTGATTCGGTCATTGTGGGGAATCATGGTGAGAAAGTGGAAGATGTTCTTCAGGTTAAGATCTCACCTAGAGGATTACCAAAGCATTGGGCAGGTAGAAGGAAATCAAAGCCTAGCCCTGAAAAGAATGATGTGCGGTTGGAATCTGATATGCTTAATGAGGAAGAGCCTCGTAACAAAGCAGGAAATGCTCCCAAGATTCAGTCTGTATCAATGATTCTTCCTGACAATGGACAAGACCATAGATTGGTGAGTAAACCCCTGTCTTGTCTCTCTAAAACTCATACACTGTATGTTTTTGTAACTGCTTGTGTATAGCACATTCTATTTTGCTGAGATGAGCTAATGCATCACAAACCTGTGTCAATGCAGAATTATGAAGCAGTACCATTTGAGGGAGAGATGCCAAAGAAAAACACCATACAAGAGAATGAAGAGTTCCCATTCAATCTTTGGAAACCCTTGAGTTGCTTGGCCGAAGCTGCAGATAAAACAAAGTTCGGTAAAAGTAATGAACCGGAGAGTAAGCCCTCGTTGGATAGAAAGCCCGTGAGAGACGATGCCTCGGATCAAATGACTGTAGAGCCAATAGTACCATCTAACAGTCAAGAAGATGGAAAATCGGCCCCTAGTTCTGAAAATGACAAAGCAAAAACCTCTGTCCCCAAACAAAAGGGAAGAAGTAATGGAAATTGTTCTTCTCCTCCTTCATTAAGACCTCGAAAGCTCAGAAAGATACTTGGCATTGTTCAGAAGAATGAGTCTGTTCCTGAGGTGATAGTTACATCACAAGAGGCTACTGCTGTGGAAGCAAATGACAAGGCTGAAGGAAGAAATGTTCCAGTATGGTTTTCATTGGTTGCTTCAGAGAATCAGTAAGATTATTTTTTCTAATCTTTTCCCTCTTCTCTCTTCTCCTATCTGTCAATATATTTTTTTTACTTCTTCTGGGAATGCCGGGAAAGTGATCATCTTGAACTTTTCAGGGGTACGAAAGCACCATTACCGCAGATATCGTCTTGCTACTTGAGGGTTAAGTATGTTCCTTTTACTTATCTTCAATCATACTTCAAACTTGAATCCACCTTCCATATGCATCTATGTATTTTTTTTATTGTTTTTCATCAAATCAAGAATAGTCATTTCCTAGGATTCAATCCTCTTGCAAACAAAAGTAATTCAAAACAGGAACCAGACGAATCTGATCATCTCTGCCTTTGTGTTTACAGAGATGCCAACTTACCCGTTTCGTATATCCAGAAGTATCTGGTGAAGAAGCTCAGTCTTGCAAGCGAGGCCGAGGTAAACTCTCTCTCTCTCTCTCTCTCTCTTCTTTCTCTCTCTTCTTTCTCTCTCTCTAAACATCTCCTCCTCTTCTTCTGGGTATGCAGGTGGAGATAAGCCTGAGAGGTGAGCCGCTTCATTCGTCGTTGAGGCTACATAGCTTACGGGATTGGTGGGTCCAGAAAGCTCCGGTCTCTGAACGGCTAAGCCCTTTGGTCGGTGGCTCAGCCAAGGACTTTGTCATGGTCCTCTCTTACAGTCGCAAATCTCTGCTCTGAATATATTTGCATTCCCTTCTCCCGCTTACTTACACCATAAGGTATCTCAAGCCAGGTTGCTTCCTCAGCAAGAAAACATAAAGATTCCGACTGAAGCTTATCGAAGCTAACAGGAGATGCAATAAGCCCTCGCGTTTGCAGACTTCAGTTCTTGATTTAGGAATTGTTTGAGAATAAACAGATGGCTCTTCCTCTCTTGCAGCATCATGCTAACAAATCTTTTTATTCTTTTGCTTATTCTAGCATACAAATTGTTCATTATAATTCTAGTTTTGATAAAGTTTATTGATTTAAAGCTTTTAGAGCAGGGCAAGCAAGATGCAAAACATTGGATTTCAAAACCAAAAGGTTCCAACTTTGAATATATAAAATCCTGAAGGAACATTAACATTATCAAGCATCCAGAACAGTCATAAGAAACAAGTTTAACATAGTGCAATAAGCAAATGGTCTTATAGAGCACTGGGAAATTCTTCACTTCAGAGGGATAAACCTTGAGGAGTGAGTAGCACCAACACCGGGTCTACCGTGCTTGACGGGTTTGTATGAGATGGAAAACTCGGCCAAGTAATGACCAATCATCTCGGGCTTGATCTCAACCTGGTTGAAAGTCTTCCCATTGTACACACCAACAATGCTTCCAATCATCTCCGGAACAATGATCATGTTTCGGAGGTGAGTTCTAACTGGCTCGGGCTTCTCACCCTGAGGCGCATCCCTTTTCTGATAAGAAGATCATGTGGAAATGTAAGTTGAATCTATTTCTTAACAATGTTACATGGGTCTAACACATGGACTGACACAAGATGTATACATTGGTATGCAACAAGAACAGAGAAAGAGCTCTGCCTCAAAGGTGATTGAAATTTAGGGTTCAAATGCAGACATCTAGCAAAGAAGTATTTCTGACAAGAACATCTAACAATGTTACATGGGTCTAAAACATTGATTGACACGAGATGCGTATACACAGAGAACGAGCTCTGCCTCAAAAGGCGATTGAGATCCACGGTTCCAAGTTCAAGCCATTTCAAACGAAGAGATCTAACTAAGGACTATTTCAATAAACATGGGAAATAACGCATCTAGATTGAATGAACCAGCTAACAGGTCATTTGAAGATCCCAAAGATTCAAAGTGAGACCCTTCAGATGTAAAGCATAATCATTACGACCTTACACCACCAAAGAGAGGATCAGTAAATTACCGCCTTGCGGAGCTTCTTGATCAAAGCCAGTGGCTTCCTCGTAAGACCCCTCCGGAACCTACGATTTCATCATACCCCGAAGACAGAGAAAACATCAGACCAAAACCCACTAATGTCGAAGAAAAAAAAAAGATAGGGGAGAATAAGAACAGAAAGAGACAAAAAAAAAATGTCTCCGCGAGCGTTATTACCTTCTGCGAGCACGGGCTTGGAAGAGATTGACGAGCTGATCGGTGGGCATGTCGAGGAGAGCGTCCAGATCCACTCCTCTGAAGGAGAACTTCCTGAATGTTCTCTTCTTGGGCTGTCCGGTCGCGACCTCAGGTTCCACTTCCGCCATGATTGGATCTTCGAAGGAGACAACAATTCCTGATTCGATTTTGCCGCTAGGGTTTTTGTTGAGAGGATAGAAGCGAACCTGAGTGCTTTATAGTCTCCATAACCCTAGCAGGATAGTTATGATAATTTTCATTTTGAGGACATAAAAGTTTTTTATTTAATATTTGGTTCCATATTTTCTGAAATTTATTGAATGTGCCAATAATATTCTTAAATTACATTTTCCCCCTTGATATTTCTTGAATTTTTCCCAGGGAAATTTATTTGACAATATTTTTTTGGATCAGGCTTCTATCATTAACTTTTACTGAGTTCTACTGTTTACACATAATTTTGTAAATTTTCCGTTCTTGCATTGTATGTCATCATGACAATATAGCTCTTTCCCATTTATCAAATTTCTCTCATTTTCATAGGAGAATGTACCAATTCAAAACCTTTTACATAATATAATTATTACAATATTGAATCGGTCTAAATGGAGTAACATATAATCATATTTAAATTGAATAAGACATAAAAACTAATAGATATTTATATGTTTAGTTCCATTAAAGACAAATGCAAATAAAGAATTACATTCAAGACTCTAACCAACATGACAATTCCTACCGTATAAAGAGTCATATCTATCTTCATCAAATAAGTTATAGTTTGGAATCACTACTAGAAAACAGCAAAAGGGTGACGCAACTTTTGCGTCACCCTTTTATATTTTTGCGTCACCCTTTTCAAAAGGTGACGCAATAGTGACGCAACCAAAAGCGTCACCATTCATACCGTCACCAATTCAGATTTCGTCACCAAGCGTCACCAAAGGGTGACGCAATAGTGACTCAATTTTTGCGTCACTAAATAGTGACGCAATTGCGTCACCTTTTAGCGTCACCTTTTGGTGACACAATTGCGTCACTATTTAGTGACTCAAAAAGGTGACGCAATTATTGCGTCACTAAAACGTATTTTGGATTCAAAAATAATTTTTTTTAATCCCGAATCTAACCCTATACCCTATTCCCGACCTCTAACCTCCAACCGCGATCTTAAGCCGAATCGGAAACTCTGAGATTGAATCCTCGAAATCCACTTCCCAGGAGGTCACCCATCCTTCCACTGCTCCAGCTCAAGCACGCTTAACTTTAGAGTTCCAATTGACAACCAACCAACTGATCCAAGTTAAACTTCTGATATATTACTACATTAATACATATACATATACAAATATTTATACTTACAAATATATATATATATATACGTATATATTTGTACGTATATATACATACATAAAATATATATTTATATACATAACATATGTTTGTATGTATAATACGTGGAATATACTGGGATCCATATATATTCATATATATGATGATATATATATAAATATATAATATATATATGTATATGTAAAATACACATTTATATATAAAATACTCGTATATTTGTATATACAAATACACATATATATAATATATACGTATACATAAAATTTACGTTTTATATATATATTCGTATATTTATACATACAAATACATATATATATATATAATATACGTATATATAAAATTTATATTTATATGGAAATATTTGTATATTTATACGTACAAATACATACATATATATATATATGTATATATAAAATATATACATATATATATATATATGTATGTATTTGTACGTATAAATAATAAAATACAGATATAGTGACGCAATTGCGTCACTAAACGGTGACTAAATTGCGTCACCAAAGGGTGACGCAACTATTTGCGTCACTCTTGCGTCACCTTTTTTGGTGACGCAAATTTTGCGTTATTTTTTACGTCACCGTTTAGTGACGCAACTATTTGCGTCACTATTGCGTCACTATTTAGTGACGCTTTAGTGACGAAAATATTGCGTCACTATTTGCGTCACTTTTGCGTCACCATTTTAGTGACGCAAATTTTGCGTCACCTTTTGCGTCACCTTTTCCGTGTTTTCTAGTAGTGAATGTGTTATGATGGAAGGGATCTTCACCATATCAATAAAACACATTCTCTCATCGATTCACCCAACAACCCTTATCTCCTTCACTTTCTTCTGTATCACGATATATTCATAAACTCTATGAGTTTTATTTGGCATGGTTGCAATCATCTTCTCTATCTCTTCAATTACTGATTTTTGAAGATGAATCTCCATAAAATCAAACCACTCGTCTAGTGTAATCTTCCCAAAATCTATCTCCATTTGGTTTAAACTATTAACGTAGGACAAATTAGTACATTTTTCGTCATCACATCTAAAGTCTCCACCTTTGTCAATTGAACCATGGTAATGACATTCTTAAAGTGAATCCACATCTTGCAAGTCCTTTGTTTCTTCTCTCACATTAGGGTTTTTGTTCTCTTCTCCTAATGCATTCTTCTCTTTACATCTATCATCATTAAATGCTTCACTACAATCTATTCCCCTATCAATTGATCAGTCAAGACATTCTTCTAGTAAACTCATATCTTCTCCATTCGCCATACCTTCTTCAATGGTAAAGATTCAAGTCTCTTCTCCTACATAAGTGTCCTTATGGTCTTACTCTCTAGTGGCTTCTCTTCCTTTTTCTTCTTGCATGCACGTCTTTTTCTGGCTTGGTTTTTGACCTTCTCCTATTCCAAGTATGAATACCAGGGAATCCCGTTCTTCTTGCTTCTGATTGCCCTTGTATTCACTTTATTCTCTTCTTACTTCTCTAAAACTTGGAATGCAGTTTCTGATTCAGTATCAGCATTCCCAACATTCCCTAATTCTGAACTCAATTTTTTTGTAGTTTCAATCTTCTTGTTCCTCACCTCCACGACTTACTCTCTTCTAGTATCTTACCTCTGAATCCTCCACTCCCTCTGTGATATTCCCAGTTTCCAAATTGCCTTAATCTAGACACGAACTTTGGGTATTTTTAATGTTTCTCCGAACCCTAGAATTACCCTTTTTTTCCTCTTTGCTGCCAACATCCATTTCCGTGTTAGTAATTGCTACATTCTCTCCATTCAGACATGAATTTTCCATGCCCATGTTCTTCCTGGTCCTCTAACCTTAGAATTGATTTTAATCTCATATTTTTCCTCAAAAATCTTCACCTCCTCTGTCATTCCTCCATTATTTTACTTCTCAAAACCCTACATCTCCTTGGCAGTTCTTACTTACTGTCATTCTCTTTGTTACCTTCATTCCCTTGCTTTGTGGATCTAACTTTTTTCATCGGTTTCTCGTGAACCGACTCGATAGGTACAACGGCTTGTCATCTATTATTTCGTGGCCTCGAAAGAAGCTTATTCGCTTGGAAAATACGCCTTCCTGAATTCAAGGTTCACCGCAATGGATGTGTACTCACCGAGCTTGATAGTATCGCCATGGCAGAGATCTAACGGCATGTCCGAGGCAAATAGGTTGAGTCCCGTTCGATGATCCAAGATCTCGAATCATCCATTTTCCAGATTCCAACTCGACCCAAAGGTGCTTCGTGAATATCCCGACGTTCTTGACGGAGAGATCATTGTCTCGAGCGATTCGACCAACCCGAACAGTAGATCCCAACTTCTACTCTAGGAATTCGCCTTCTCTAGGACCATTGAGGAATACGAGCTTCAGCAATGGCGGCATCATTGCCATTGTTCGGGTAAAACCTCTGTGAAATTGAAGAGTCGGAGAAAATCTATGAGAGAACTTTGACAAAAAAAAAAATCTGCGAGAGAGTGATCCCAAATGAAATTTGAAACCTTTGATAGACGCTTTTTTTAATAAGAGATTTATAAATCTGGGTTATATCACGCAACACGAGGGGTTGCAATTCCAATCCTATCAGCTCAGATATGGCCGCACATGTGAACATCTCGCACGTGCTTGAACCTATTTCATAAAATTTACCGAATCAACATACTAATTTTTAATTCTTTTATACTCTTTTCCTCATCAATATTTATCGATTAGAAAATTTTAAGAAGAATATTTACAACGGAAAATAAAATTGAAATTTAGAAAATAACCATTAATTCTTGGTATCTCCATTCTATTATAATCTAATCGAAATTAGCTCATAAGTAATTAGAATATTCCAATCTAATTGGACATAAATGCGCACAAGCAAATAAATAAATAAAAATTCTATAATAAAAGTATATACAAAATGTAAAATGGTATAATCATAATTAAAAAAAGTTGTAATTTTCTTATATTTAACCAATACGTGGGTTGGAACTGAATGATTCAAAAAATATGTGTTCGAAGTGTTTTATTTTTTAAAAGATATTTTTTTTTCAAATCAAAAATACAATTTCAAATCCAAGATTAGATGGTTCAAAAGGTAATGAAGAGAACAAAATTCAACCCAAGTTTGAATCTCATTTAGGAAGCGGTATTCACATGGATTTCTCCAATATTCTAAGAGATATAGTCAGACAAAACCCGATAAACTTTTAGGTTATAAAAAAAAATACAAATTCAAAGAACTTTATTTTCAAGAAGTTTGCAAATGAGAAGAAAACCCACCAGAATGCATGGAACCATGGATTGAACAAACTTTAAAGTGATTCAAATTCTACATTCATATAGAAATTTATATTATTTTATTCATTTTTTATCGGTTTAAATTACTTTTTGTTTAAGTTTATTTCAGATTTCGGTTTGATTATTGTTTCATTGTTTAGTTTGAAAAACATAATATACCATTTAACTTTTATATCTGAGATTTTTTTTATTTTGATCTGTTTGAATGAATTTAAAATTTGATATTATTTATTTCAGTTCAATTCAATATTCGTTTTAAAAGTTATATTTGATTGAAGTTCCTCTTGATCCTATTAATTTGTTTCAAAGAAAATACATTTAATTAAATTTTTTCATAAGGTTTGTTTCATATACAATTATATATTATTTATTTCAGTATAATTCAATTTGATTTGCCCAACCTTAATATTTATCCATACTTTACACGTATTGCCAATGGATATGAAACAATCTTATATGCACAAAATCTTATCACTATCGTATTTCTAAATAATAATAAAATAAAATTTAACAAGATAATGAGTGTA